TATTCTGCATTTAGTTTGGTAATCGTATGAAAATGGTTGCTCGCTTTTGCCATGAGCATTTTGCTCGGTGTTTGAATCTTTGAACACTAATGAACGTTCGGTTTTCGAATCAAAATTGTGATTTAAGACTCTCATGGTTGGGACTTGGGACACCACGTGAAGTGATTATAGCCTTAAAGGGAATAAACATCATTTGCTTTTGCTGTAATTTTCAGAAATGGATGGAATTGGGGGATTGGAAATATATAGAAAATATAGTTACACTGACTTTTTTGAGGTTTTGGGTTCGAAAATGCTATAAAAACCAAGAAAAACAATCATTTTCCTGTAGTCTGGTTCCCGGACTCCATATAAGAAGAAACAGAGCACTTTACATACATTGGGGAATTGTAAGGTCAGGGAACCAGTCTAGCTGGCTTGTACCCGTTCATAGGTGTGTAATCGATTGCAAACATTTGCGATGGTCAGTTGGGGCCAGTATTTGAAAAAAGCCAGTTTTTTCAAACGCTGGTCGGCCGACCAGCGTTGGAAATTGATACAAAAATACCACTTTTCTTGAAAATGACAGTATACCAGGTGCCATGATTTTACAGGATGCTTTATATACACTGTCATTCACTAACAGTCCAGCAAGTATTTCAAAATGATTTGGTAGTTTTATTTTTTGATGTTTGCAAATGTTGTATTTTCCCTTTAACGGGGTTCTGTGAAAAAGGTAAATCGACAATTTGGCCAGCATGCTCTGAACGTGAGAGGGAATCTTTCGGTTTTTGAAGCGCCCAGTTAAATTTCACGAATATGTTGTCTATTTCAATGTTGGAAAAGCGAGATTAAAAAGACTTTTCTAAAGTAATGTATATATTACACGTACTTCGATATCGATTACATTCGATAATCCATTACTTGAGCCTAGCCATTTCAGAAAATCGGGAAAAAAATATAACATTAATTTTAAAGTTTGGATTCAGAGTCCAGACAAACATACTCGGCATATTTTTGCATCTAACTGGATGGTTGGAGGAAAAACCTTAGACGTCTTTATTTTATGCACACAACTTAGCAAGTACTTCTTAAGCTTGAGATAGACAAACAGAATACAACAGGAACAAAGCCACAAAGAAAACTAAAGTACTGAGACGGAGGAGGGGGCAAACTCGGGGCAGAATGTGAAAGTTCTTGAGCACACAGGCTTGAATGGGGTTTGGGGCCCCGATATGCAGTCTGCACACACAGGGCGTATTCTTGCAAAGTCCGGGGATGAGGGGGATTACCTCCGACCACCTCGCCGGGTAAATGACGCTATTCACCCGTGAGCCAACACCGTTAAGCGCGGTGCAAATATTGACTACGCTAATGTGTTTGCCATGGCTAACTGCTAAAACAACACACTGCAGGTATGGGGAACGAGGCATGATCCTTCCTGCCCGCGCATTGTGCTACCCGCCAGCCCCCATATTACTAGCCTCAAATTCAATTAATAAAGAAATCTGACAACCTGACAGTCCATCACCTTCCACGCTACTTCCAGTACACACAATGGCGCGATCCGCGCTGGCAAATTATTCATGTAAATTAGCCATTAACCCAACAAATTAATTAAAGTGATATCACTTAGTGCCCGTATTTCGCGCGCTATATCGTCGTTAATGGCCTGGGTAATTAATTTAGCGGAGATCGATGCCTGTAGAATTAGAAAAGACAAACACAAGGGTTTCCCAATTGGAGCAATGCAAATTGGATTACTCGTCATCGAGATGTTTAGCGCATTATCGAGTGTTGACAAGCTGATCTTTCCCAAACTACGGCAGTTTGAGTTTGAAAAAAAAAAAGATGCATCCACACCAGAATTTTGAGGTTGGCAGTGCATAAAGCGCTCGCCTCTAACCACTGTGGCCCTGGGTCGTTCCCAGCTAGGACCATGTGAGTAGAGTTGTGCTTTGGTTCTCTCCTGTGCCACGAGGGTTTTTCTCCGGGCCCTCCGGTTTTCCTCCCTCCGGAAAAAAATCAAACACTTTCGATCTCAGGCTGTGCTCCGTGGTCATATATGGGTCGATGTGGCGGCTGCCTAAGGCGCCTTTACATGTCTGAGGCTCGACCACGTTGTAGCCGCGTCCTTCGCAATTCAGCTTCTCAGCTGCGAGTAACTGATTAGCTTCCCAAGTGCTTATTTATTGCGATTCACTCTAACAATGACGAATGAAAGAACAAGGCCTAAATAAAAAAATTCTCGGATTTTGTTTTCTGATAAAAAGAATTACAGAAATAATCTTGCTTTTCCTCGGAAGCAAGACGGTAGCCAGCAAGACTGTGGAGTGAAGACGCCGCGAAGAAACCCGTAATGGATCACAAGTCCGATCGCAAGTCCATCACAAGTCAAAGTATTCAAATGATATGTGACAAAGGCAACGTATCAGAGTGTTCATCCCCTGTTACTTGTGACTGGACTTTGTGAAATGACTTGCGATTTACTTGTGATCCATCGCAAGTTACTCTACTACAACTTACAGTGTTTTTTTCCAAACATTACTTTCATCTATACACTCTGAAAAGTCCAAGATCAAATTTGACTCAGACCCAGACTCTATTTGGTATTTCGGGGTCAAAACTTGACACTTTTCTTTGTCAAAATTACTTTTGCCAAAATGATCCAGAGAAGTGTCACCGTAACCCGGAAAAGTGTCATTTTTTTGACCCAGAAAAGTGTTATTTTTGACCCGGAAAGAGTCATTTTTGTGGCCAGAAAAAGTGTCATTTTGACCCGGAAAAGTATAGACCAAATAGAAGCCGGATTCCGGGTCAATCTGCCATGGGACTTTTTAGCGTTGTACGTTTCTATTTGGTCAAGGATATTCTATAAAATGCTTCAGGTGATCTGGTATTAGTAGGCTATGGGTTTCTGTAGGCCTATAGCATCAGTTGAAATTAAAATCAAAGTTTCAGTTTCAATTGCCCGGAAACATGACCATATACGAGGAAAACAACCTGGAAATAGGTAGCTGGAAATCCAAATACTGACTGTTTTCTCTAGTTCTTGATAATTGACGAGCTGACGCCGACGGATTCCAAAATGGAGTCCCATTCACCGTAGATTCCCCAGTCAGTGGTAATTTTTGGACTGATATTCAGTTGCACCCGCTAACGCTAGTCAAATTTTCCTGTTTTTTGTTTGTTTGTTTGTTTTTTTTTGCAGTCCATCCTGACATCAGTTTTACGGTGTATAAGACAGGACCGGTTCCAAAAATCCACTTGAAACCATTTGTCTTAAACCTCATAGGTCAGTGTAGACAATTTACAAAACAAGTTGAATGTGTATATAATGTTGACACCCGCTATAGAAGGAAAGCTCAACGTGGTCACGGTATAATACAGTGTCAGAATCGGTCTGGGACACCGTAGTAATTGATATGCGTGACTGAAGCTGAGACAGGTGTGTGGAATTTGGACTCTGTGGAATACTGACTCATGGTTGTATTGCGCATGCCTGCGTGACGATAATTAGGACAGGGAAAAGTAACGCGTGACTATAGAGTCAATATAAGACCAGCTTTCATTGGAGTCCAAATTTCATATGATACCGGCTTTGCGTTAGTGTGTATTACATTTTAAAACCGGTGCTCAGGTGGGTAGCCTATATTACCGAAATCATCCGTGTTCCTTCGAAGACATTCAAAACAGATTACATATCCCCCCCCCCCAAAAAAAAAACCCTTTCTGCTTTGGATTTCACCATGCAGTGACTTCGTACTGGCCACTGCTCAAAGTACAGGGTGAGTCAAAAAAAGCAAAACCCAAATGTCGGGACCATTGTTGTAGTGAAGTTCTGCATGTAGCACGTTCAAAATGTAGAATATGAAAGCCCAATTCATAAGCTTTCTTTTAGTACAAGAATCATTCAAATCACTTATGTACTTTTCAAGTTACGGAGTTTTAAACATAACCGCCGTTTTAAGGTTCTGTCCACGAAATCACAAAAAGGATGTGTGTGAATTGTTTTCGTTTTGCTGAAAGAACGCACCCTTTTTTTGTGATCCGTGGACAGAACTTTAAAACGGTGGTTGTGTTTAAAACTCCGTAACTTAAAAAGTACATAAGTGATTTGAATGATTCTCGTACTAAAAGAAAGCTTATGAATTGGGCTTTCTCTTTCCTACATTTTTAAAGAGCTACATGTGGAACATCACTAAAACAGTGGTCCCGACATTTGGGTTTCGTTTTTTGACTCACCCTGTAGATTAGCCACCGAGGGTCAATAACAAGTCTATCTTAAGTTATCCATCCTCAAATTATCGCAGTGGAGTATGACGAAGGCATTCGTTATTTTGTCACTGTTTAGTCGGATCCTGTCCCATTTGCAATTTAACCGGAAGATGGGGGGGGGATGACCAAAGTACCGAAATTTACTGCTCATGTCTACAGTTAAGTGTTGGAAATCGTAAAAGTTTGACAATTTGTCACTTGCTCTCTGGTGTCTTAAATTAACCGCGAAAAGGTCAACTTTTGTGGGCAAGCACGACTAGAACATGACATGCCGTGAGTAGATTCTTCCTGAACTTGTCACGTTGCATTCCCCTTCCCACCCCTAAATAAACCACACAGAGAAAAAAACCCACTTTTCTGATGTGTATCAATAATGTGTGGCAAATACCACACGGCGGAGATGTACATGCACTTCAGCCCAATAAACAATAACGCCCCGTCATTCCGCGAGAGAAGTGTTAAGTGCCAAGTTCAAGTTGGGAGCCGTGGCTGGGTAGTGTCACGAACGACGGGGCAGAACCCCCACGCACACACGGCCGCAACGCGGCACTTCGGCGGTCCTTACATACACCACTCGCCGATAAATTACGGACCGAGTGAGCGAGTATTTATTTTCTTGAGTGCCGCCACAGAATCAGCTAATCGCTTCGTATATTAACCACGACCCAATCATGCTAAAAAAAGACAAATTGTCCAAGGCAATATCACTTCACTTGTTATACACTTCCAAAAAAGTTTATATACAATTTTATGCCTACTATTCACAGACTTTATTCGTACATGACAATAAGGATATATCAATATTTTTAAACATTTGTTTGTACAATATTACAGTACTATTAATTACCACGACAATATAATACGATTGGTCGAAAACGGTTTGACAGTCGGTTTTTAAATTTTATAAATCCGTCAGGAGAAGAAAAAGGAAAGAAACAATTTGCCAGAAACAGAAAGGTGTATGGAGTGTTAATCAAGAACTTTTTCTGTCTTAATGTAATGAATTATATCATTATATGATATCTGTTTTCAAGTGTGTGATAATTACAGAGTATCCTTTTCACTTGTCAGAGAAGTAATGTACAATTGCTCGACCATTAACTGTAACCTTTTTCGGAATTTGTTTTTTTTTGTCTCTGTAAAAAAAAGAATGCGTAGTCGATGTGCCAAAAATGTAAAAAAGGGGAAGAATTAGAAGCCTCTTGTGGAATAGTATAGAATACTGTTCAAGCCCAGCAATATATCGAAAGAATGTCGTAGCATTACTCTATCATTACGCATCAGTTTCATGGTCAAATGCTGGTTCATATTTTGGATAATATACAATAGAATCATCAACTTTCAATTCATTATACTGTCTGTCCATTTGATCCATTTTACGGCGTTCTTTGGTAAGTGGCCATGTTAGCGGCCAAAATAGCAAAGTTACTGGCCAAACAAAAGGCCATTTAAAGGATAGTGCGAGTGGCACATTGGAGGGTAGGCATGGCAGCCGAACTGGCCGATAAGTCCGTGGTAAGCGGCGGGAGAGGTGGGCAACGGCAGGCCGCTGTCCGGGTAGAACAGGGGCTGGGCGTGGGGGTCCCTGAACAGCACCTTGACGGCCACTTTCTTGGCCGGCGGCGGGGACATCATGTCGACAGCCATCTGCTTCCGCTTGGTCTTGTAGCGCCGGTTCTGGAACCAGATCTTGACCTGCTGCTCGGTGAGTTTCAAGGCGGCGGCCAGATCGGCGCGCTCGGGCCCGGACAGGTAGCGCTGATGGCCGAAGCGCCGCTCCAGCTCGAAGACCTGGGCGTGGGAGAAGGCGGCCCGGGAGCGCTTCTTGCGGCCTTCCTTCTGCCCGGCCGCTGAGGTCGCCGAGGCTGGCGACTGCTGGGACTTTTCATCTTCTTCCTCCAACATCTCAGCTATCACTCGATCATCTGATCATAAAATAGAGAAAAAGAAAGAAAAAAATACGAGATGTAATCAAATCTGACAACCTCCTGGGGAAGCGTGAGCACGCTCTTAACCGTTAAACAAACTCTAACTCTTGGTGGTCCAGCGTCAGCGAGCGAGATGGGCGATGCTGGGCATAGCATGGTATGTTTGCTTGGCCGAGGAGAGGCGCTGAGTTCGATCAACCAACCGCACGGAACCACGTTCTCCGGCAGTAAAAATCGGATGTGGGATGTCATGTATAGCGGGCTGTGAGGCAAAACAGCCGGACTAGACAGGCGAAAGCTGTTGTAAATTCATTCAGAATTTAATTGTCAATGACTCGACTCGATAATTATAATTAATATTTACACCATAGTGCGTATAGCAGGCACACACTCGTGAAACTTCTTTATTAATATTACTTTGAACATTTGAACAAAAGCCTTTACACATCTTTAATCAAAACAACGACTGAATATAAACACACAATTATGTTATGTTAGGATGATAAATCATCTGTTGATTTGGTTCTGTATTTCAACGATAATTGGGCCAAGTCAAAACAAAATACCAGTTGATCGTCCCCGCCCGAGTTTTTGAGGCTGCATCGATTTTTGGATTTTGTTAAATTTCAGCCATAACATTGTTTAGTAGACGTTTCAGAAGTTGAGATGCTTCTCATAGCTTTACTAATGTTCAATAAGCACTTAAAGAAGGTTTTGTGGTCATCAACTAATAGACAACTACCCAGAAATCTCAAATAAAAAGGTCCTCCTCCTTTTTAAGGCACATATCGTGCAACTTAAATACGGCTATTTTAGCTTATTTATAAAATAAAAAAAATAATAAAAAGGCCCTCATCCTCCCTTTAAAAAAAAAAAACCGGACGATCACCTGGTGTTTTTTTCTTGGCCTTATCGTGTTTTTTTCCATATAGGCTAATTTGGTATAAATAAAAAGCAGGGAAATTTACTGCGCACGGAGATTTTTTGGTACTTGCTTGTCCGAAATGGTCATCAATGAATTCGAAACATTTTCATGAGAATTGTCGTATATGGTGTTGAAGGAAATTTTTGATTCTCAAAAGTTTACTAAAAAAAATTTGCTGATAGCCTCGTAGATCTAACTTTATATTTGAAAAAAAAATGCCATTCAAAGGAAAAATAGGTTTGTCGGGAAGCAGATGTATTGAAAAGAGAGGCTTAAATTTATATAAAAATTGTAACTTTCGTGAATCCAAAAGAAAAGTATAAGGTAGCACTTCAAATTAATAACTATAAAGTGAAAACTACTTCATCAGATGTGGGGCATCATCATTACCAGGTTCATATATACTATACAGTCAAAACAAAAGGTGGTGATCAATTATATCAATGGTGTAGTGTGACAAAAAGCCACGGTCCCTATTATTAAGCCCTTAAGGCCTTGTTGAATACAGTCTAAGTAAGATTTCCGCTGTTATGGTGAGTAAATTAGTTGACAGGAAAGTCAAGTGTTGATTCATCATTCAGTTCCATTTCTCCTATATTTTAATTTCAAGATTCCCTTTTCATGTCTTCAACTTTTAAAATAAATCCTTGAAGTATCGGGGTACATACCTGTATCGACTAGACGTGACTCCGGTCGCTCATTCTCCTCTCCTCTCGAAGGGTTTTCCGTAGGTACCTCTCGGCGATGGTGTGGGGAAATTATGTCACGCTTTAAACCTTCCTTTTCGTCGGTGCACACCCTGTCCGTGTATCGGCATCCTGCCAACTCTTCTCTTGGAATTTGATTGTGGTGAGAATGAAGATGACGATGATGATGATGATGGGCAAAATGCTCAAGGGATATCTGTTCAGTGTGCCGTACCACCACCGACGGATGGTATAGCGAGTCAAGCCTTTCAGGCACGGGGACAGTCCGCATCTTCAAACCCGCGGAGTGCTCTGTCGTCGCCGCCGACACTCGCCGGTACGGCTTCGGTGACACCTCCTCTTTAGGCGGTTCGGCATCGGTCCGGTTGCTCTTGCTGCTCCGCCCACGGCCACCGAGAATGTCCAGGATAGTGAAGGGAGTGAGCGAGCCGTTGACACGGGAGACTCCCGAGCCGACCATGGTGTGTGGCTTCTCGCTTCGTCGGTTTTGTTGCCCGGTTCAATACTTCACGGCACCGGTGATGTATAGTTGTACGCTTAGTCCCAACAGTAAGTTCCAGACGAAAGTGATAGCGGTACACAAGTTCTGTATGTTGCTGGTGATGTGTTAGCCTCGAAATCCACAGTCAAACTGAACCATGAAGATAATGATGACCAGTCTCTGGCTCCTTGGCGTAACAAACCCGCCTGTCACAATTCCCGTGTTTTCACGCAATGACCATCACTCATTAGAGACTCACAGTGTAAGCTTCGCAGCAGCTAATCACTGAGCAAATCGACTGGTTATGAGCGAGAGTGACAGCCTGGTGAGAGTTAAGTTAGCGATCGCAGGGGGGCCCAAGCAGATCGGTGCAATTAAGCAAGACTCTCACACGGGCCTCTCATTGGCTACGAGTCGTTAAGCAACTACCCCTCCGTTAAACAATGCACATTGAGCTGTACACCCGTCAAGAAGATATCGAGGAAGGAAAACAAAACAGCCAAACCACACAAGGCGAGAGAACCAGTGCAATGTTGAGAGATAAACCTCAATACTTCAAGTGATTGGTGTAGAGTAATAAAAAAGGGGGGCTGGCCCCGCGGGCTGTACCTCAGTGACGGATTATCTCCCACCTTATCCAATTGTCTGAATTGCGGCCTAAGTGGTAGCAATTCAATCTAATTGATTTGCCAGTGCACATAACCCGGGACGCGGGGTTGGGCCCTTGTTGGTCAGCAGCTACACGGCGGGCGCGACAGGCCTGCCTGTCATGCATGCGTGTCATGTCGCAATCCGTCAAAACGAGTAGTTGATGTCCGTGACAAGTCGAACCCCCTGGTTCCCTACACGGTGTCACGCATGTCACTCATATTTCCCCAAGTATGGGAAACAGTTGAATGCAGCGATTCATAATTTATAGTTTTGACGATCATAATTAATTTTTTATTGTTTATCCTCACCCGAATTCGAACCTTTCTTCACGACTTCGTCGCTTGGTGGCACTTTACTTTGTTTGCCTATTATCCTTTTGCCTATTATCCCTTTTGACGCGTTGCCTAGCTTCATGGAACTAGGTTTAACAGCGGGATGGGGCCATGGGAAATCCAGAGGGGGATTTGGGGGTTGAACCCCCCCCCCCCCCCGTTCAGCCGCTGACTAATTTTATGATACGATTTAATTAGGGCCAAAAGTAATAAATGGAAGGCTAAAGTTCCTAAATGTATTCTCAATTGTCTTAGAATGCAGGAGCAAGCATCCTAGATATCAAAATTTATAGGGGCATGTCCCGTCGACACGCCATCTCTCACTCCCCTTCATATCACGGCCCCCGTCTCCTGAAAGCTAGATTGGGGATTTTTTTTTGGGGGGGGGGGGGCGTTCGTTACAATTTGTGATAAATTCGGAACACATTACCTTCAGTTTATGGTCTCTTTTGACTTGGACTTGCTGACGATGTTTGAAAGTTTTAATGGAGGTCCCCCACATGGCCAGAACAAAGCCACGCAAGGCTATAAACATTCTCAGAGAAAACAAACAAGAAAAACAAGGAACTAGACAAAAAACAGTGGACAAAGACAGAGTTGGTTGGACTTATTAAGGATTAATCTGGAGATTGTCTGTTTGTTCACAACGAAGGCTCACAAGCCCAGGTGAAAAGTCACTGACTTTGGGGGCCGTCACTCGACTCACCCCAAACCGCACCCTGTGACTGACTGTTTTGACAAGAGCGGTTAAAACCCACATTATTATTCCGGCCCGAAAAACAGGGTGCTGACTGTAGAAGTGAAGATAAATGACCACTTACACTGGAGTTAATGAGTGAGAAGGGATATATTAGCCCCGACCAAACCAAATAAATAACCCAATTAATTAGTGGAGTGGAGCATCGTAAACTTCAGGCGAGAACATGGAGGGGAGAGAGATCTCCCAAACTTTCTGGACGCTACTTTCTGAGGATAACCATATTCTTCACTGAAAAATACGCCATTTTGCTGTTTACTGTGCGGGATTGTGGAATGTTCGTGTAAACGACAGGGATCTTTATCTGACACTCAATCCTTGTTTGGGGTGTCTTTATTTAGAAGACGTCAGGGAGGACAAGTGGAGAAGGAGTTTTTTGACGCAGAGCAGGGGAGCTGCCAAAACGGATTGGGTGGTCCTGCTTCGTTCAAGGCTATTTTGACAGGGTGACTGGTCCCCGGCCCCAATCCACCACAGCACAGCACAACGAACTTGACACGAGATTGACCGGTGTCCGGCCTTCCGACCAATCGCCGACTGCCTTTCATCCCAGCCTCCGCCGAAGGCATCCGTAAGGACCCCGGTGATTGGCGGGATGCCCAAAACGAGCCGAGCTGTCACGCTGCGTCCGCGTTAAGACTGACGCGCGGGCCCCAGGGAATGCACACTGCGATAAGTAATTTGCAGGCGGGCCATATGTCAACAAATACTTGGGCTTACTTTTCAACGGGTTTTCCACCCCTGGTCTCGACAACTATCTCTTGATTCCGGTAAACGGTCCTAATAGCGGGCGAGTATTATTCCACGGCGGGTACCCCGCCGGGAGGGAATCCAGTCACCGCTCGGTGCGGTTTTCACCCTGGAGCAGGCGAAGGGTACGAGGTTTGGTGGAGAGAGAAAAAAAGGTTTCCACTGAGGGTTGACCCAGGGGGCGCATTAGACTTATATCCACAAACATAATGATGGAGGTCCACTAATCTTGTGTATACATCCCTCGTGCACACAAACAATTAACGATGAGCCGGGCCGGGGACGAATTTCCAAATAATGGATCAAATCACCACGGCAGGCCCCGAGTGCAAGACGTGGGCGGCTTTACTCTCGCACGGAGGCAACGATTTATTTGGATAAGTGGTGGGAGGGGACAACGCGCGAGGGCGCTATCACTCGTCCAGCGGTGTCCCCAAACTTCGGAAGCCCACTCACGAGTACATGAGTATATAGTGCAACTGGCCCTTGTACATGGTTCGGTTGAAATATAAAGTTAGTCACTTGAATATCATCTTATGTAAGGCTTACCAATCTACAAAGTTAAGAGACGAAAATCGCTGATTTACAATTAACTGCAGGCTGTAATGTGTTCCATGGTGTGCGCGAAGTTCCCCGTGCTACTGTATCGTGAACTTCGGACAAACAGTTCACTTCGGACCCTGCCACAACAGAGTGACGTTTCAACGAATAAATTTCTGATGGAGAATTGTCTTAAATTGTTTGTACTTCAAAGTAAACCCAACATAACACGACATTTTGAAGGGGAAAAACACCGTTCCGTCAGGTTTGTGACAAAGTGCCTATGTCAGTTGAAATGGTAACCAAATGTTTCGTGATGAGATGGAATATTTCATGCTGCCCCGTCACCGATGTACAGTGTACGCACTGTATACTTCAGTGCTGTCAGACAGATGGCGAGAATTGAATTGGCAGTTACTTGGGTGGGACTCGAACCCACGACCTCCTATACAACATCTTATCCAAATGGAGACTTTCTTGAAAAATGCAACACTGACCAACTCAAACCACAAATTCACCACAAATTGAATGCACTACACTAAAAATAATCCTGGGTATTTGACCAGAATCTATGTCATGCTATTGTGATAACCTGATACTTTTCCGGATCCAAAATGACACTTTTTTTCCGCCTTCAAAATGACCCGGACAATGATCAAGAGAAGTGTCAATTTTGACCCGAAAAAGTGTCATTTTGACCCGGAAAAGTGTCATCTTGACCCGGAAAAGTATCAGATTATAACATGACCCGGATCAGTCCGGGTTCAATGTGACCCGGGAGTTAGAACTATCCGACGACTGTTTCCTTTTAGGAATCCCTTGATGTCATATCTCAGCGAGTTCACATAGATCTGAATACAGAGTGTGCCAAAAAGTGCAACATTCAGAAAACAAATAATTCAAATTGTTTAAAGTTTTTTTTTCTTAAATGAAAATATATATTACCTTAAAGCCTGACTTTTTCTCAATCCACTCCTTTTTTACTCCATTCTATTGGGGTCCCTAGATCCAGAAATACAATCAATTAAGTGAAAGGGTGTACCGTACTTGGGCCACTCTCACCTGGACATGCTGAATCTGGGTTAAGTATTAATATGCATTGATAGGCATTGAAGTTGGTGACATCACGGGAGAGAGTGCCAGGCCCAAGTAACATTTACACCCTTTCACTTAATTGTTTGTATTTCTGGATCTAGGGACCCAAATGGTATGAGGTAAAAAGGAGTTGATTGAGAATTAGCCGCTATATAATATATTGAAGAACGAACATTGAACAGTTTCAATTATTTGTTTTCTGAATGTTGCACTTTTTTGGCATACTCTGTACTTACTGATCCAACGAAACCAAACCACTTTTGATCAACTGGGAGAGACCATATTAAAAGTCTCTAAAACATACATAAAAAACCTTTCAAAAGTCATTGCTTACCACGGCAATTTATTATTATTATCATTGCGAGCACGTTTCTCTATAGGAAGGTCCTCCCTGTGCTGACTAGTTCAAGTCGGGCATGTGATATGTGCAATCAATTCATTTGGCATGTGAAGAGATTTATCAACGAGAAAAAAAAAGATCGCTGTAAAAGAATCCCTCTGTTTGAACAACCATTCCACAAAGCAGATAGTAACGATGGTTTAAGATTAAATCCTTGTTTATTTGGCGACTCTCCCCAACTCCATGATGCACGAGTCCAACTTGTCCAAATTCCCGTACCATTTAACCCAGCTTCTTTTAAATTCGTTTCTTTCTCCAATCAGTGATTAAACAAACGGAGTGAGTTGTTTAAACAACTAAAAGAAACAAGACCCGAATGGTGAGTTATTATGGGTGTCGCGGACGGCAATCGACAGACATGACTAATGGGGAATCACGCGATTAACACGAGTAGCACAGCTCGCCTGATTGCCTGTTATTGAAAGTGATTGTCAAAAATATCCAGTATACGGAGAATTCCTTAAAGGCACACCTTCGAAATTGAAAAATATTGACTGGTGTTTGTTTAAAGTTGAAGGGAATGAATAGTGACAAGTGTGGATACAAAGACATGATACTTTCAATTTGAAAGAACTGTTCGTTTAACTGCAAACACAGAACTGTCTAAATAATAATGTTTATTGTTTTCAGCTTATTGAACAGACTTTTCGACGAAGACTGGTGTAACTTAAACAGCCAAGCAACTGAAGAACAGGAGACACATAGGCTCTAAGCAACTGTGCAGCAACAAAATAGGTCGCCGCAGCTGGAAACTGCAACTGCATCAAAAGAGGATAATCTCTGCTAATGTTCCATCATTAATAAATGTAGTAGTACCCATTACTGCCGCACGATAAACAATATTAAACACGAAGAGTAAATTGACAACAGTATCGCTGATCTGGGGGGGGGGGGGTGTTTAGGGGTGTACCCCCCCCCCGGGTCGCAAAATATAGGAAAATCATGCAGGAAGGCATAGCACATGCCTGCTACCCCACCCCCACCCCCGGCCATTTATCCCCTCCAACCCGCCCCCGCTCACCCCTTGAGCCAAAGCTGGATCCGCCCAGTTCA